GCGCCCGCCTGGCCGCCGCCTGCGGGGATCCCCATCCGGGAGCCGCCGCGCCCTCGCCTGCCGCCGAGCCCCGAGCCGCCGCAGCCGCAGAGGTAGGAGGCGCGCGCCGAACAATGACCGCGGCGGGAGCGCGGACCCGGTCGGAGGCAGCAACTTGTGCGAGTCCGGGTGGCCGCGGCGCACCGTGCGGCCCGAGCTCCCTGCGGGGACCGAGGGACCGTCTTGCCCCGGGCCAGCGGCCGGCTCCGCAACAATAGCCACAACACGGGCACCTCGGGCTCCCTGGTAGCTTACCTCCGCGGACCTCGGCTGCGTGGCGCGGAGCCCCTGGGTCCCCCGTGACCTCCTCCCCACCCCCCGCGCGCCCTTCCCCCGCTCTCCCGCATCCCACCCTGCCGGGTGACAGCGCCCCCGACGCCTCTTCCGGACCCGGAGGTGCAATCTCGGCCCTTGTGGTCAGTCGCCGGCCCGGGGAGGTGGTCGTTGGCTCAGGTGCCGCGGCGCCGCCGAGTCCCCGCAGCTCGCCCACGCGCGGCGAAAGGATCCGGGTGGGTGACAAAGAGGAACACACCCTCTTAAGTTAGATCTTGCAGCATGCTTTTATAGAGGACAAAGTTTGGGGGGGTTCCCCTTATTTTTTTCTTTTTAAAGTACCAGACAGATTTTTTTTTCTTATTTTTGTGTGTGTTGAGTATTTCAAAACAACTTCTGATTGCGGTTTTTACGATTTAAGTTAGGGAAACTTTAGCCGTGTGATCTAGCTCTTAAGTGTGTGCGTTATTTTTGGGGGGTGGAGAAGGGATTCTTTTTAGGCAGCTGGAGGCCAGGGCTGATGGGATTTTGCAGGGTCCCCCAGAAAAGAGCGAGGTGCGACTCACAAAGAACCGGGGAGCTGGTAAAGATGTGGGAAGGACTGCCTCTCATCTGGAACAGTTTACCGGGCTCAGCTCTCGCTCCCCTCCCCCCTTCTCTGGAGTACCGCGGCCTCCGGCTGTTTCATTTTATTTTTTTTGTTGTTAAAGCTTTCCTCCCTGTTAATTTGCCGCGTTTGACTGGCTTGGCCCTGGCTGCTGCCTTGGGGTACCTTGGGGACTCCCATCTCCTCCATCCAACAGGCAGCGTTTTCTGTGCCTAACCTCGCCCCAGCATTGGGCCGAATTTAATGTGCTTTGCACGTGAAGACTTACCAAGCCCATTTCAGAATATTCCCCCAGAGCAGTCTTGCTTTTCTTATGCCATCTGAACAAGGAATGGGCAAAGAAAAAAAAAATCTTTGGGTTCTGAAATCTTTAATGGGAGGAGCCTTTAAAAACCGGGTGGTTTTTAGGATAAGGCCGGGCCTTTCCCAAGTCTCTGGCATTCTTCCCGTCGTCCCAGTATTCTTGCTGGGGGTTTACTGGGGGTTTATCCTCTGCCTCTGACGATGCTTTTTATCCTGGGTCCGGCATCCACATGACTCACTTTATATTCCTGCAGCATCGTTCTGCAGCAAGACACTAATATTGGAGTTACTCCAAGCACAACGAAACGTTTGTGTTTTTAGAATGTCTGGCTAATGGATCTGCTTCTGGGTAAAATAAATAGAAGCATTATTGGGCAGTGGCTGGTTTACTGGGGGAGTTGGTGGTGAAGGGAGTGAGCCTGTCCAGCCCACAGGAAGCAAAAGATATTTGATGGTGAGGTAACTGTCTCTCAGGGGTGCAGACTCTATGCCTTGCTCCTCTGACTTGGGGTATGCTGTTACATTTAGAGGTTCTGTGTTGGGGATTCCTTCTGAAGTGGGGTGTGCAATGCAAACTCACCCCTTGATCCCCCTTTTTAAAGACAGGGTCTTAACTATGTAGCCCACGTTGGTATCTTAACCCGGGATCCACCTGCCTCAGTCCTCTGAGTGCCTGGATCCTAGGCATGTACTCCTCGTTGGCTATAATGTACTTTTTTACATTGATATGATCTTCCCTGGCATTGGATATGGGAATCATTGTTAGAATGCTAATACTCTGTGTGGACAGACTTAACAAAGAAAATGTCATAGTCTATCTTAAACAACTTTCTTGTTGGGTTACCTTAATTTTCTTAAAATTTCTGGAAATTATAAAAAACCTTGGTGAATATTTGTTTCGCTTTTCATTAAAGAAACTATCCAAGAAAAATGTTAAAAAGATTTATTTTTATTTTGTTATGTATGAGTGTCTGCATGCATGTATACATAGGCACCGTGTGTGCAGTGCCTCAAGAGGTCAGAAGAGGGCATCTGATTCCCTGGAACTGGAGTTACTGAGGCTGGGTGTGGGTGCTGGGAACTGAATTCTGGTCCTCACAAGAGCAACAAATGTTTTTGGCCACCAAAACATTTCTCCTGCCCTGAAAAAAAAAATTCAAACAATTTTTTGTGTGTTATGTGTATAAGTGTTTTACCTGCATGCTTGTAAGTGCACTCATGCATGCAATACCTGTGGAAGCCAGAAGAGGGTGTCACTTCTCCTGGAACTGGAGTTATGGATGGTTGTAAGCTGCTGTGTGGATGTTGAGAACCAAACCAGGTCCTCTGGAAGAGCAGCCAGTGCTCTTACCCACTGAGCCATCTCTTCACACACCACCCCCCAAATGTTTAAAGATGAGGATTAAATGTAGTGTTGAAAAGGTTAGGGTGTGGTGGTCACATATGTAATCCTAGCATTCTGGAGACTGAAGCAGGAAAACCTTCAAGTTCAAGGATAGCCTGGGCTGCACAGTGAGTTCAAGACCAGTCTTGACTCTCGTCAAAAAAAAAAAAAAAATTGGAGTCTAGTCCAGTATTTCTCAAGCACGCACATGTGTTTAATTCACTTGGAAAATGAGTGGAGGTAGACAACTCCAGGCAAAAAGACAAAAACCTAGTTGTTGTGTGTTGGATTTTCTTTGGGAAATCGGCCCCTGTGATAGTCTCAGATAGGGACACTATACCTCTATAGGGATGAAATGATTTGATTTGATAGCACGTCATATGGGGCTTCTTCTTCTTCTTATTTTTTTTTTTTTTTTTTTTTTTTTTTGACAGCCCCAGCTGTCCTGGAACTCACTAGGTGGTCTCGAGCTCACAGAGATCTGCCTACCTCAGTCTCTTAAGTGCTGGGATTAAAGGTATGAGCCACCATGCTCGGCGTATGGTTGGTTTTAAACCAACCTTTTGTGACTGGCCTTGCTTGTTGTAGAGAATGACTTTGTATTTGTTGAGAACTGCGCTTTTCCATCTAAAAGACGATGCTACAAATAAAGAGGGCTACACAATCCTGTAACACAGCCTTTGCAGTCCTTTTTACTTAGGCAAGAATAGAAATACTGCCTGGGAGCGGGAAGTGAACATAAGTGGTAGAACTTCTTTTTTTTTGCTTTTTAGCGGTTGAGATTTTTGCTGTGGCATTACATGAGCATAGTCCTCTGTCCCTCAGTGACATAGGTTTGGCTGTTACCTCATTAACCACTCCCATGTGGCTAAGGTCAGAGTCAAATGGTTTCCATTAGAATGACTGGAAATACTGACTTCTCTGTCATTTTATGCCAAATGCAGCTTTTGTTTTTAATCAAGAAGCTTCCTCAAAATGCTTTTTTCTTTTTTGGTCTTTTTGAGACAGGGTCTCCCTATAGTGGGACTGACCACTATGTAGATCAGGCTGGCCTTGAGCTCACAAGAGATCCACTTGCCTCTGCCTCCCAAGCACTGGTATTAAAGGCATGCACCACCATGGCTGTCGAAAATACTTTTTTTCAATGCAGAGAAACTGAGTTTTAATAGGGTATCTTTTTCTTGTTTTGTGTCAGTTGAAAATGTTTTGCCAAGTGGATGTTTTGAGAAAAAGTAGACAACTGATACATTATTTGAACATGGTACCCTGCGTTTGCTACTTGAGAAATAGGAGGACCATCAATACCACCAGACTAACCATGCTTAGTGCTGCTTATAAACTTTGACCAGGGCTGTGCAGTTTTATGATTTTGCTGTGGTATGGAAATTATAGATAGACGGCAAGATTTGGAATTAATGTAGGATACAACATTTTCACTGAATTAATTTCCTGTGCAAAACTTTCACTCATGCATATATTAAAACAGAAATGCTAAAGGCCAAACTAGATTGCCTAGTAGGATGACCCTCACTACAGCAAGACTAACTTGGCTTTTTGCTTTACCTGAAGACCTTTGGAGAAATGCTTTATTTATTAATTTTTATTTTTTAATTTTTTTGTCTTTTTGAGACAGGGTCTCCCTGTAGCCCCAGCTGTCCTGGAACTCGCTATGTAGACCAGGACGTCCTCGAACTCGGAGAGATTTGCCTGCCTCTGCAGACTAAAGGCGTGCGCCACCACACCCACCTTATTAATTTATTTTTAAAAGACAGGGTCTCACTATATAACTCTGGCTGTCCTGAAACTCACTAAAACTAGGCTGGTCTTGAACTTACAGAGATCCTCCTGCCCCTGCTTTTGGAGTGCTGGGATTAACAGCTGTGCCACCACTTGTAGCTGGAGAAAAGCTTTTCTTTTTTAAAAAATATTTTATTTACTATTTTAATTTATGTGTACCAGTGTATTGTCTGCATGTATGTAAATGCACCAGTGTTGTGCAGTTCCTGCAGAGGTCAGTAGAGGGTGTTGGATTCCCTGGAACTGAAGTTACAGATGATTGTTAGTTGCCATGTGGGTGCTGGGAACTGAACCTGAGTCCTCTGCAAGAGCCATCAGTGTTCTTAACCTCTGAGCCATCTCTCCAGCCCTCAAGAAATGCTTTTCATAAAGGTATTTTATTATCAATTTCAGAGGAATACTTATAAATCAGTAGTATGGTACTTTTTTGTTCTGATCCTGTTGTTTCCCTGGAAACAGGTAGTCCCTGGAACATAGCATACACTTGATAAATATTTGTTAAGTGAATAAACATGTCCAGCCTTTAATGTTCTTTTGAATTAGTCCCTGGGATTTAAGATTTTTTTTTTTTAATATGAAACTTGATCTTAGCAGTAATAGGTTACAGTTCTGCAACTTTGAGAATTTGATAGTTGACTTTTATGGTTATTTCTTTGTAATGGAGCAGTGTGGTCCTGAAAGCTGGCTGACATTATCAAAAGGCTGATGAGATGGCTCAGTGGATAAAGGAGTCTGCTTCCAAGTCTGACTACCTGAGTTCAATCCTTAGGACCCACATGGTGGAAGGAGAGAACCTACTCCTCAGGTTGTCCTCTGACGCCACATGCTGGCTGTGGCATGTCTGCCCCCGCTTCCTGTGTGTGTCCTCCCCATTAGAAATAAAATCTGAGGTCCAAGGACCCCATCAGTATCACACAAATAGCATACGGACAAAGCAAGGCAGATTTAACTTTTTCGAAAGGGTGACTTGCATGGTCAGTCAGATCCAGCAAGTCCAGCAAGCACACACTGGACCCGGAAGTTTGAGGGACTTTTATCTCTAACACAAGAAAACCTTGTCGTTTTCCCATTGGCTGGGGTCAGACCTCACAGTCTTTCCCGGTTGGCTAGTTTAAAAGAATCAGTGTGAAGGGAGAACTATAGTA